TTCCCTCCATCTTTTCTGAGTAATACAAAATAAGTATTCATGTCTTTCATCAGATAATTTAAGTAATTCCCATAGAATGCAACACATCTCTCTCTCCACGGCCACCCATGCCAGAATCAAAAGTAGTAGTCTATTTATAAAGGTTCCATATTAAATTTAGGTGAAAAAAGTTACATTTTAATTACAAGTCCTCTTGAAGAAACTTGATTCCCATTTCTGGCACTCGAGCTACACATAGAGGAACTCAGGCAAGTCAATCTGCTTCTTGATGGCTTCTCTTTGGTTTTGGTCTGGACCTTTCCCTAGATTTTTCAGCACTGGCAATCTCCTCTTCTGTTAAAGGCTCAAGAATAATGACAGAGGTCAAAGAACATTGAGGAAGAATAAAAGCAAAGGGAAGAAGGAAAGGAGAGATGGGGGCAGAACTGAGGGGAGGTATCCTGTAGCTATAAAGTCTTCTCAAAATAGCCTGTCAAAATCTCAAAGAAACTATTCTGAATACTGTGACCACAACGAAAAGTGCTTCTTTCCGATATTGTGGGTAAAATGGTAATTATGAGAAATATGAAAAAGAATATATGACACAGTATAACACCACATCATAAAATGCATTTTAGTGTAATTTGTTATTGCATTTTCTAATTTGGTACACAAACACTTCAAAATATACATTAACAGGTTGTACATAGTATACAGTTACTTAAGTATTTATAGAAAATGATACAGACACACACATATATACACATTTTAATTAAAAGGCATACATCCAAGACTGTGAAAAGAGCCTAGTATCTTATTAAGGCATATTTATTTGGAAAAACTGATTCAAGTTTGTATTATTTCAACATATTGGCCTTTTCCAGGAATAAAACCTGATATAAGAGTAAAGTATGATAAAGTTTAATTCAACAAAATTAATTGGTTCTTAATAAAAACAGGGTCAATCAATTTTCACTATTACAGATATTCTATTATGTATAATGAATTCTTGAAAATCCTTAATTGTAACATTTACTGAATAAGAATGAGGGAACCAAAAGGAAAGTAATCCCTTCATTGTAAAATAAATGTATACTGCTTAAACTCTGTTTAAATGGTCTATGTATTCCTGGCTACTAGTTAGGGAATATATAGTATAAAGCTAGGGAATATATAGTATAAATATCAATAAATGTTGCAATCACAATAGCCATTCATATCCCATATAATTATTAAGAAATCTAAATGAAGTGGGAATGAATAATTATGTATTTTCATACGTAAATGCATTTCACTGAGCATTTTTTAAATTTATTTTTTAGTTTTTGGTGGACACAACATCTTTATTTTATTTTTTATGTGGTGCTGAGGATCGAACCCAGCGCCCCGCGCATGCCAGGTGAGCACGCTACCGCTTGAGCCACATCCCCAGCCCTTCACTGAGCATTTAATGATCAATTGTACATACTCTATTTGATCAAATTTCTGAGATTATAATGGTATAAAATTCCCACAATTTTAGTCCCATAATTGTAATTTATTCTGATAAATTATTTGATGTGGCCCAAATTTTTTAAAAGTTCGTTATATCCCAGTGTCCCATATAGAGGAATAACAAAGTTGTTGTTATCCCCAGTGTCCCATATAGAGGAATAACAAAGTTGTTGTTGCTCAATTAAAGTGTTTATAGGTATACTATATATGGGACATTGGGGCATAATGGGTTTAATGTTAATACATCTGTGAAAGCATAGTGGAAGTCACCAGGAAAAGATGATGTGCTACAGAAATAGGTTATTTACTCTGAAGAAAATTCAGGCCCCAGCTTTTTCTGTTGCTTTGGACGCTCATATTTTAGTCAGAATGTTGATCCCTTGGCCTTCCACTAACAAGAGTTAGATTGGAACTACCAAAGCAACATACCAATTACATAGTGTGTGTATATGTATCCTTTTCTAAGTGGATTATATAAATTTTGAAAACAGCTTTCATGCATTAAACATGTTAGTAATCAAAATCTGCAATATGCATATATAAAGAATAATACCATTATTATAGTAGTACTTTTTATGTAAAGTAATTATGTATTCCTCTTCAGTGATTCACAACTACCATTCAATTTTTTTCTTAGGTACAAAGACTTACAAGAATTTTTTTTTTTTTTTTTGGTGGGGAGTACTGGGGATTGAACTCAGGAGCACTGAGCCACACCCCCAGCCCTATGTTGTATGTATTTAGAGACAAGGTCTCACTGAGTTGCTTAGTACCTCGCTTTTGCTGAGTCTAGCTTTGTACTTGTGATCCTCCTGCCTCAGCCTCCCAAGCTGCTGGGATTACAGGTGTGCACCCCCGCCCCCAGACACTTGTTTTTTAAATATGAATTTAAAAAATGCCTACAAGTTATGATCAAAAGGATTCCATTGGAAATTTGCAAGTAGATATGAAGGTTTTCTGAATCATACTTTTTTTTTTTTAGAGAGATATTCTTTTGTATGCTATATTCAGTCTTAGTGGCAATAAGTAAGGATAAAAAGGGTTAATCCTGCACAAATGTGTTTGTATGTCTCTTTAGGTGTTTAAAGTCTCCATATTTTTCACCATCAGGCTTTTATCCAATGCTGGCCCTTATGCCTGCTTTTTCTTTTCCCAATGACGTTACCTTCTCTAAAAAGTAAACTGTTGCTGGGGGTGTAGATTAGTGGTAGAATAGCATATGGTGTAGATCAGTGGTAGAATAGCATGTGTGAGGTCCTGAGTTTAATTCCCAGCATGGCAAAAAAAAAAAAAAAAAAAGTGTTAACTGTTGGAAGAAAAGAAGGGTGGAAATATAAATTAATATGTTTTAATTTTATCTCTAACTAGTATACTAATAGATACCACAAAAGAGTGATAAAAGGACAAAGTTGAGGATAACAAGAGCTATCAGCTGAGCCATAGGTTCTCTGGAGGACAGAAATATGAAGAGCTAAAAGGGACTTTCTGAAAAAAGAAAAAATAAGAAATAAAACAATACGGGGAGGAGATAGAAGTCTTAGAAGCTGATGATCAAATAATAAGGAGATTCAGTTAGAATCTGAGGATACAAAATGTGCAAACATAGAATGAAAAGGAATTTTAAGGCGGGCCTGAGGTGTGAGAGAATTATGAGAAAAGAAGATTTCAAAAGCAAAAACCTAGGAAGTACCATCTGCTTTGGTACCTATAGTGACCAAAGATTTAAAAAGGAGTCATAAAGGCCTAAACTGGAAAGAATTTTAGTAGCCCAGGAATTAAAAGGCTCAATGACTAGGAAAAAAGAAGTTAGATCTAGCTGTAGGGGTTAGGATATATTAACGAAAGAGAAGATGAATGACAAAACAGTGTTTACTAATACAACTTCAGTATGTACTGCACACATAAAACAAGCAATAAACCTAAGATGTATACAGTTTGTTTCTTGAATTCAACTAAGCTGTTATTTTTTATGGGTCACTGACCCTTGAAATAAGAGGTTCCCTATTACATTAAAAGTTAGGGAAGTCAAATAGTGCATAAAAGGACTAGCAAAGCTTTTAATATTTTGTGCCACATGGTACCTCTATTAAAATCAAACATTGGAGGTTTATTTTTATACAGAATAATTACATGAATTTAATGTAGCTTTTATTATTTCATTTTCTTTACGTTTTTGTTCCTTGTTATACATTTTGGAGATGTGACAATAATTTAGTACAAAAAAAGTAGGACCTATCATGTCCTTAGTAAGCAGCTGTTCATGAAGATAATATTTCTAGTCACTAGATTAGGAAGCAAGATTCTGAGATTACTGCTGGGCCTAAGCCTCTAACTTGTCAACCAAAAGTTACTTCCTCTTTAGTATAATGAATTGCAGAAGTACAGTTAAACAGTTGTCTATGAGGGTTTATGAGTAGGCATATGATACGGCTGGTAAGCAGAGATACTGGGGTTTTCTCTGCCAGTGACCAAAATATTTACACATTTCATAAAGTAGAAAGAACTTTCTAAAAAATTAATAAGATCTGTTTCACAAATTACCAATTCAACTGGAACACTGAATAGTAGAAATGACAAAAGATTTGTTCTTATGGTTGATAAAAAATTTATATCAGGGCATTCAAGTAAAGTTATTTTCTGTGTTCTGATTTAATGAATCATGTGAGTTGTATCTGGTTGGGTGACACAGATTCTGGTTCACTGAAGCCTACTCTAATGCTTCTCAGCATAGCCTTTCTTGGGACAGTGAAGCCAGAATAACATGTCAGACTGAAGTAATATCAAAGAAAGAGAAAGCAGGGCTGGAAATGCTATGAGGTTGACTCATAACACTTCTTGACCTGTGAATGTCCAGTAAGTTTTTGATGTCCTATGGGCTTTGATGACCTAACAAGCACCAGGCAGCAACAGTAATGCAGTAATGAATGGTCCTCAAAAGATTTTTACAATTCAAGCTGAAAAACACTACACTTATTAGACGGTTTTAACTCAATTGAAAAACAGTCTTAGAAACCACAAGTGGCTTCCTAAAAGGTGAATGAGTATTAAATGTTTTATATATGCTGTATAGTAAGCATTTAGTTCCTTTAAATTTGTTAGATTTTAAAATACACATCAATTTGGGAAAAAAAATCTTTTCTGATGCTATTAAAGTATGTTGAAATAGCATGAGATAAAAATACAGATGTAAAATCATGATGCTCATTCAGTATTAATAAAATGGATTATTGAAAATGAAACTAAAGAACTATTCTGTATTTATTCCACATGGACATGTTCTTCTTTCAAAAGATAATAGTATTTGTGAAGAACAGAGTCCTCAGAAGGAAAGATAAAAAGTATAAAGAGAATGATTATAGCTTATCAAAATATGGTATATCACTTTACATGAAAACTATTTTATCCTATAAGAAAAATAAGGCACAAAATAGAGATCTAACATTTTTCCAAGGCAGTTTATCAAATTAGTATATTCCTTTGTTTTTCACTAATCAAAATTTATAGTTAAAATCTGAAAGAGTACTTACGATGACAGCAACACCACAGCAATTAAAGTCCATTCCACAGGTTTGTGTATTATATTTCTATTTGTTAATCTAAAAGACAGTAAGATAAAATTTACTCAAATATTTTTATATTTAAATTAGTAAACCTTTTATTTCTGGATAAAATCAAACTTCTTATGTGTCAAAGAAGTACTTTTTCAGCATCTGATAATAACCATCTCAAAAGGAAGTGTTCTAGCCCACTTTTACATATTAATAACAACAATACTGTTAGACAATATGGGAATACAAGAACAATCATGGGAACTAAATTGCATGGTTTATTAAGATACACACACCCTGTAACAATATCTTCTATGCTTTCCCCCTGTTGAACATTTTATTAAAGCTAACAAGTAATTCCTCATTTAAATTTTAAGGTTTTGACAACCTTTCCATCTTGTGCTAGTTTAGAGCTGGCAATTAATGCTATAATTCAGAATTTACAGAAATGAGAGTTGGCTTAATAAACTGCAAGAATAGGTCTTAAAGAAAACTTAAGTTTTAAAAAATATTGAGTAAATTCTATCCTTGATGGTAATAAAATATTAGTCTTTGTTAGTAATAAAATATTCTGGAGTCATCTTAGTTTCTCAGGAAACATTTAGATATATATCATTAAAAATTAAAAAATGATAACTGAAAATACTGAAGTTTGGTGAGGACAAGAAGAAATCGTACTTTTTTTGGTAAATATTTATTTTTTAGTTGTAGTTGGACACAATACCTTTGTTTATTTATTTTTATGTGGTGTTGAGGATCGAACCCAGGGCCTCGCACGTGCTAGGTGAGCGCTCTACCACTGAGCCACAACCCCAGCACAAGAAATAGTACTTTTAATACACTATTGATATGAGAAATTGAATAATAACTTAGTAATATCTAATGAAGTTGAAAATGCATATGAATAGCCCAGATATAAAGCCTGAAATCTCTCACTTATGCACAAAGAAACGTGTATCAAGAATGCTAATACAATACTGCTGTGAGAGGGGGAAAAAAAACAAATTGAGGCATTGCATATTTATAGAATATTGACTTATTATAACAAATGACATAGATTTACATGTTTCATTCATAAGTTTGAGTAAAAGAAAGCAAACATGGCATGATTGTTCATATCAATCAATAATTAACAATGCTAGTGGACACATATAAATGTAGCAAAAAGTATAAAAACAAAGACTAGAATGTTGTATAGGTTGCTTCTAGGGAGGAAAGGAGAACGGATTGGGAAGGGGAACAAAGTAGACTTTGTTCTCCTTTGTGCCCTCTTTTCCATCTATCTGAAACTACCTTCCCTCAGATAAATTTCCTTATATCATCTTTGCAGTAAGGTGTACCTGGACCATCCTATTACAACTTGCCCTCTACCTCCTAGCCCAGTACTCCAGATCCCCCTACCCTGCTATATGTATATATTTTTCTTTTCCCATACCAGTTACCACTTTATAACACATTATTTACAGTTTATTTTCTCTTGCTTGATGGCAATAATTCCAAGTCCCCAGAATAAGAGCCTGGCAACCAGTAGGCATTCAGTTAATATTTTTTGAATGAGCAAATTAACTTATAATGTTTTTATTTAAAAGTACAAATCCAAATCAAATTTTAGAAACTATTAAAATCTATTAACTCTGTGTGGAAGACGTTTTGTTACATTAATCTGAATTTTCTCCACAGCTTAAAGTGTTTCAGAATTATTCTTGTGAGGATTAAATGTACAAAAGACATACATGCTGTCAAATTCAACTGACATTTCTCAGTCTTCATCTTAATCTACCTGCAGCATTTTGACACAGCTGATGACTCCCTTTTTTATGGAAAGATTTCACCTAGTTTCTACTGTTTTGATTTTGTCCCCTCTTATTGACACTTATTCTCACACCTTTTAATATTGGAATGCCCCATGAACTCTGCCCTTAGGTCTTTTCTCTCCTTTATAACACTCTTCCCTTTGGTGATATTGAACAATCTTATAGTGTTTCATGCTGACAACTGTCAAATTTATTTGTCTCTAACTTGAACTTCTCCTAGAATTCTAGATTTCTGTATCTAATGGTCTACTTGACATCTCTATGTGGAGGTCTAATAGGCACTCAAAACAGTACAGGAAAAACTGAGTTCCTCAATATTCTCCTCCAAACATTCCCATTTCAGTTAGTTAAACGCTACCCTACCCTTCCAGAATCTAGTTGTTGAGGACAAAAAATCATGTGGTTAAATTTGACTCTTCACATCTTAAGAAAAAACAGTCATCAAATCCTGATGGTTCTGCCTTCAAAATAGAATCTTATTAGTTCTTAATACCTTCACTCCTTCCATCCTGCCTTCCTTCCTTCCTTCCTAGTTCTTTTTTTTTTAAAGAGAGAGAGAGAGAGAGAGAGAGAGAGAGAGAGAGAGAGAGAGAGAGAATGAGAGAATTTTTTAATATTTATTTTTTAGTTTTCGGCAGACACAACAAATTTGTTTGTATGTGGTGCTGAGGATTGAACCCAGTGCCATGCGCATGCCAGGTGAGCGTGCTACTGCTTGAGACACATCCCCAGCCCTCTTTCTAGTTCTTAATACCTTCCTTCACTGCTTTCTTTCTTCTTTCTTTCTTATTAGTTCTTAATACCTTCACTTCTTCCTTCCTTCCTTTCTTTTCACACCATTTCTTGACTGTGAAAAATAGCCTCCTAATTGGTCTCTCTGTCTCTATTTGTTGTAATTTTCAACTCAGCAGCAAGAGTGATGCTGTTAAAAATGTATATTAGAGCATGGGATGACATTCTCTTTTCAAAACCCACCAACTGCTCTGTATCCCTCTCACAGCAAAAGCCAAAGAATTACTATGGCTACATGGTCTATACAATTTGTATCACACTTAATTTTTGTCCCACATTTCCCTCTTTTTCTGTTCTTGCCTCTGTTCAATTCTCTAGCCTTACCAGCATCCTAAATATTTTGTTACTCCTTTTTTGGGGGGCGGGGGGAGGCACAGTTTCTACTTGCTATTCCTGTCTGATACATTTTCACAGTTGGCAACAGCTGGCTCATTTAGCTCCTAGTAGTTCTTTACACAAATGTCATCTTTTCCTAAGGCCTTCCATAACCAGACTATTTAAAACTGCAACTTTCTCCCTCATCAGTACCATCCTGTTTCCCTATATCTAGGAAAATAGGAGAATGAACTGGGAAAGGGAAATAGATAATGCCACAGCATAATAATCAAAATAATAATATATTTATTATATTTAAAATTTTATATACTCTACTAGAATGTAAGTTCCATGAAAGAAGGATGCTTCTACTTCTTTATTGTTGTATCTGTAAGAACTAAAACAGAATCTACCTCTAGAAAGAGCTCAAAGAAAGTTAAGCATGGAAGAAAAGTGACAAAAATGATTGAATTTCCTTTTCTACTGTATACAAATCTTCTGGAGTTAATACAGAGTTAAGATATCATTTCATGATTTAAGAATTCATGAAATAATTTAAGAATTCATTTACTCATTCAGCATAAAATTTACTGAGTGCCTTCTGTATCTCACTGTTCTAGGTACCGGGGTAAACACAAATAAAAGGGGTTGGTTTTACTTCAAAGTACTTCTATTAGCAGAATAGCAAAATTTATTTTCTTCTCATGGTTTTCCTTTTGCTACAGTCAAAATAATTTCCAGCATGAATGCTAAATGAATATACTTACCATTATTTGGATGATAATTTAAAAATAAAAATAATATTAGAAAACAGTTAAAAGAATATTTTCAAAATATACTAATTTGAAATCCAAACAGATTTACCAAAAAATATCTTGATTCAGTACCAATTTTATATATATATGTAGATGAACACAATATCTTTATTTTTATTTACTTATTTTTATGCTGTGCTGAGGATTGAACTCAGGGCCTCACAAGTGCGAGGCAAGCGCTCTACCACTGAGCTACAATCTCAGCCCAGTTCCAATGAAATTTATTTATTTATTTAAAGATTTTTTTTTAATAGAGAGAGAGAGAGAAGAGAGAATTTTAATATTTATTTTTTAGTTTTCGGCGGACACAACATCTTTGTTTGTATGTGGTGCTGAGGATCGAACCCGGGCCGCACGCATGCCAGGCGAGCGCGCTACAGCTTGAGCCACATCCCCAGCCCGTTCCAATGAAATTTAAAGAGGACTTTTGTGTCAAAATATAATTTTAATTCAAATCTGAATAAAACACACATTGATTTAACATTGATTACCAAGCAGCTTGTAATGGAACTTGTTTTACACTGTCAGGAAAGCGATGTAACATTCTAGATAACAAACTATTATGCAATTCAGTGGAAAGGACAGCTCTATCCACTAGGGAAAGATTCTTTAAGGAGTGCTAAAAAAGGTGCTTTATGTTTACATCTTAAAATAGGCTTTCAACTCTGGCTGAGAATCATCTAGGGGGCTTTTAGAAATACTAATGCCTGAGCTCAACCCCAGTCAAAAGACAATCAATCTCCAGGGGTGGAGCCAAGAATCTTAGTTGTTAAAAACTCCCCAGGTAATGCTGATGCACAAATGGGTTGAGAATCAGTGTTCTATGAGCTCCTATTATTGATTATCACTTCAGAGAAAAGGATACAGTTATTTATGTGAACTCTTTCCCACTGCAGTATTGACTGAAAGATTTCAACATTACTCCTATCATCAATATGGCATTTTTTCAAAGTTTACTTGGAAACTCTAGCTTACAATTACACTGTTCTGTTAAAATCTGGAGACTTCAAATATCATTCTGTATTCTAAACAAATGACATTTTTCTAAAAGGCAATGAAGCTAACTTAAGTAATTTTTATTAAAGCTATAGACTTTGATCCGCAGGTCCTAAAGAGTAAAGATTTTAAAATATAATATTAAATTGTTTCATAATATTCCCTACCATCATAATACATAATTTTAGGCATTATTTTCCCCAAACTTCTTATTAAATTTCAAGCATATGTAAATTAGAGCAGAATAAGTTCATATGTGCTCATAATTTTGACAATGATTAAATTCTGCCCAATCATTTTTCATCTTCACAACTCC